CAATGTTTGGGACTTTAGTCAGACTGGAAGCATATGAGTGGATCCTTGTTGGGCCGAGTGTGGGCCTAAGCTTGTGCTGAAGTAATAATTGGACAAGTTATGTTTTGAATTATTTACAAAAGATTTAAACTTGTGCTTATTATATAATAAATTTGTAACATGCCACACATAAAAATGTTTATTTGAAGTGATAGATCAATTTTAACTGATAATTTTTTTTTATGCATAAAGGTTGATATAAAGTTTTTTTAGTTTATTTGTAATTGTATATACTTATATGAATGTTAAACTAAAAATCTTCAATATATGATAAATTTAATATAATATTTATGATAAAAAAAAAATTGTTTGCTCAATTTCCGGTAGCTTTGATGGTCTTTCCTTGAACATTAGTTGTTGATGGAGAAATTAATGAAAATTATCGAGGACGTGATGATAATGTTGATTATGTTACAATTTAGTATAATTTGGATAACAAAAACATTATTATTATTATTATTATTATTATTATTGTTATTATTATTATTACAACAATACATCGTTCTTTTGTCTTTTCATGGAATAGAGGGTTGAATTGGGCCCAAGTTATAAGGTATTTTGTTGTTGGTGCGTTGGCAAGCGACTTCTTTTATACAAAGTTCAAACTTCCCAAAGTGTCCTTACCACAGATTCTAAAGACGGGTTTAAGGCGATGAAGTCAGTTGTATTGTATAAGATAATTTGTTGAAGTGTTTTGTGTAATCTATCGGGCCTTTTTTTATGTTGAATTCTGATGGCTAAATGGCACAATGTAGTCTTCAGAAAAATAAATTCCAGCTTTGTAATAATTTCCTTTTATCAAATCTATCAAACTCTCAACAAAATAATGTGTACTCCCTCTTATATAAAAAGTCATCCTATTAACTAGAAATAACAGGCAGAAAAGTCAAAGGTAATTAATGTTGACTGGAAATAGATTGACATTAATTACAGATTTGTTTTGGTATTCATAGGCTTGACATTAAAAATTTGTTAGGGATAAAAATCAGAACCGATTTTTTTACTTTTATTGGAAAAGTCAAAGATAAGTATAGATTTGCTATATTATCAAATCATAAAAATATATTAAATCCATATTCTAAAAAAAAATAATTCATATAATTTTATAACAATTCTACTACACTATTTAACGGTATTTTTTTATTATATAATAAAATAATAATTAAATATTATATGGTGAACAACAATAAGTAAAATTGTTACTTTCTCTTATATCAAGGGATAAATTTATATGCTAAAATTAAAATTTTATTACTATAAATATTTTAGTGAGATAATATATTAATTATTTTACAAGCTAGCTCTAACAGGCTCATATTTAATGTTCTGGCTAAAAAACGACGTTGGTTAAATGATGTGGAAAAAAACTTATAATAACCCTATTGTTTTTTAGACTTACATTGATTGAAAGATGTAAAAAATAGATAATAACCCTATTATTTTTTAGACTTAAACGGACAAGACTGTGAAAATAACTCATTTAATATCTTTGTCAAGGAGTACGTACTAGTATGAAACAAAAAGTAAAAACTCCCCAGCTTTCTCTTCATAAACAAAACAAGAACCAAAATTTGAATAAGAACTTGTTTGTTTATGAATTTACCAACAAAAAATTTAATCTCAACTCAAAATTTTACTCAACTTTAACTCAACCACACTATACTCAATATTATCAATATAATTAAATAATATCAATCAATCATCCTTACACATAATATCAACTTTAATTCACTATTCATTAACTCACAATTTTAACTACTTATCACATCTCATAATTTAATATCCTACTAAAAACTAACCAAATAAATATTTTTTAAAATTAATTATTGTTAACCAAAAAAATCAATAAAAAATTAGTTTATTTGTATACAAACAAACCCTTAATTTTCAGCATCTATAAATGCACCTTCTTTCTCTTTTCACGAGAAAAGATAAACCATGTGAGAGCTAAAAAATAAATCAAATGATGATTGTCCAATTAACCACAAAAGAATTTCTATTTCTATTGAACAAAAAACTAATAATAAACCATTATGCAACTAGAAAAAAAAAAAAACAAATTAAAAACATCCTTACATGTGTGTGTGTGTGTGATATTGAAACAGTATCATTTTAACAAATTGAGTGTAAAATATAAATATAAGTATTATTTTCAGTATCATTTTAACAAATTGAGTGTAAAATATAGATATTATTTTAAATAATTAACTTTGTTAATTTTTAGTTATTAGTTTTATACTTCATTTTTTATAATTATATTATAAAAATATAAATTTCTTTACTTATCTCTTTTGATAAAAATTTTTATTTTTATTTTAATGTACCATTGTTGTTCATGGGCGTTATACTAACTACATAATAAATAATTATTCAATTTAATTTTAAAAAAATAAATATATCTTAAATAAAATATACAATATTTCATACAAAATATTTTCTAGAATTTAAGATAATATTACAATTTTTGTTTACTTTATTATTAATTACTTATAATTCATATTTCACAACAAAAATTTTATTACTAATTACTAATTATTTTATATTTCACAACAAAAATTTTATTTCTTTCCATTCTTTGTTGCAAAATTAATTTTTTTTCTTCAAACACCCGTGTAGTTCACGGGCGTTGTACTAGTAAATTGTTTATACAACAACATATGCTACTTCACAACAAAAAATATACCAAAAAAATAATAGACTGCAAGCTATGTACACGTGTAGACATGGCCACGGGTCAACTGGCCGCCGACCCGACACGGGCCCGATCCGGTCAAACCTGTTGATCACGGGTCCGGGCTCGGCTCGGATTTTCAACCGAGCCGGTTCAGGGTCGTCTTTTTTTCGATACCGACCCGGCGGGCCGGGTCCGGTTCGACACGGGAAAAATCAATTATTTTTGAATTTTTCTATTTTTTTTTGCCGGTTCAGGGTCGACAAAACCCAACCCTTCGGCCCGCCGGGCCGGGCCGAGCCCTGAACCGGCCCGCCATTTGGCCATGTCTATACACGTGCACAAAAATGGATCAACAAAACAACGAACTGACAATATATGACCACCACACCAACTAGTTAAAAAATCACCACTACGAACATAAGATGGATCAATTTACAAATTGACTACAATCAACACCACAAAATACATTGATAGTCTGATACAGAGAAACCTAATGGTACTTTTTGGGAAACACAAGAAGCTCAAGGGTAGGATTTGTGAGCATCTTCACCCAGTCAGTAATAAACTAGTCAGCAAACAAAATAAGGCTCATCTCCAATTCATCAAAAGAACTCCACAAAAGCTGATGATCAGTACACAATATCCCAACTTCAGCAAAACGACTCCACGTAAGCTGCTAATAAAAATACATGAAAGAGGCAAATAACCTCATCATTCTTTTTGGCACAATAGAGCAAACCGAGTAAAGAGAGGATCATACTTCCTTTCCCATTGACTCTTGAACTCATTAACCTAATCATTAAAGACCGCTCAAAAAGAAAAGATTGACAAAAAAATCAACAAACGAATTGAATAAAATTGTCAGCAACATATGAATTCAACCTAACATGGTGAGTAATGAATCGAGTGTCTTATCCAATCCATCGAAATCGT